TCCTGCCTATGCAGGGGGTCAGACTTGATGATCTATTGAGGTCCCTTCCGACCCTAACATCTATGAATCTATGAATCTATAACACAATGCCAAGTCCAATTTGCTATCTGTTGTAACAACTGGTATTCTGCCTATCCCCGAAGAGCACAGACTGCTTAAATGAATGACATTTTTCAGCCCCACTGTCTACTCTGTAACTTAATTGTAGTTTGGTAACCTGCACAGTGGAGGGAACTGTCAACTTTGTAACTGACTGTACACAGTTTAACAGCGAGGGCAAAGCAGCTATCAAATGGCTGTTATTTGAAGCCTTGAAAATAAAAGGAGCCAGTCAGTTTCATGGCTGCTCTCTACCCTTTGTCAAGGTTTTTAATAGCACTTTCTTGGCCACTATTGGAAGCCTTGAAAATGAAGGGAGCTTGTCAGTTTGCAGCTGCTAATACCACACCACAGACAGTGCTGTATATATCACCACTGGTGCTGAAGGATTAGTAGCCCCCAAGTCATTTCCAAAGGTCTCCAGTCATCGTTCTTGCCATTAGAAACTTTGCAAATGAGGGGAGATAGTTCAGTTTCAGGGCTGCTGATACCACAGATCTGCATACTTAAGAAGCATTGATTGTTTACAGTAAGTTTGGGTAAGTATAATGCTCTGGGTAAGCACAGCATTTTCTCAGTCCTCAGGGTATGAACTTAAAAGAAATATATTGTACTCGTATAACTGGGTGCCAGGCCTGAGAGCACAGAGGCAACTGTAAACCATTATTCAGAAGCATCTATTAAAGTCAGCAGTGGAGGTTCACATCTACTCCCCCAGAAGTAAGAGGGGGTGTGGGGGGGGGGGGGGGTGGAAAAGCAGTTGTACTTGCTTATCTAAAAAAGGAATTATTTGCTTCACGTAAGTAAATTTTTTCAATGCTGTAATTAAAAGTAATAATTCTGCCACTGAAAAGCGAGATTGCATGCAGAGACATTCAATAATTGCAACAGCAGTTTACCAAGAGCACATGCTGCCATAAGCATCCAAATTACATAAAAGATTCTTATAGTCTAAGGTATTCACAGTACTTTGGACTTTAGATTGGCCTTACTGTGCGTATGGTGTATTTAGACAGGCAGGCATCTGAGGTCAGCCTAGGATGACGTAAAAAGTGACTCTAAAAGTGAATGACTATTGCTCATTTTTATAGTTAAGCCACTCCCCAGAACAGTGACAGTATTACAATAAGGGCTTAAGATATCAGATGCTGTTACATTTTGGAAGCCGACTACCTTTGACACCTTAAAGAGATTTATAAAGTCTTCAGGTATGCTACAGAACAAAGCTAATCCCCAAAACCCATCACTATGATGAGGCCTTTAATTCACTCACTCAGCTAAGAGTGTTTAATTAATGGAGAGTTCCCATTCAAGGCTTGATTTTTCCTTGATTTCTAGTATGTCTTTGATCATCATTATCTCCACAGGTGGGCCTTATCAGCAACCCCCCAAATATAGACTGCTGTAGATGGCCAACAGCTAATGCATCCAGAAATCGTATTAATGCTAGAAATGAAAGCACAGACTGTATACCAGATGCTTACAAAACTTAACCAAAAGCAGAAAACAAGAGGCCTTATTATAATATGGCAGAGATGGAAAATAAAGGCAGATCCCACAATTCGTTTGGAAACTACGGCTCAAACTCAAATTCATTTATTCTGGTCCACTCTCAATACTACTCACTAACTAGACAGCCAGTCACAAGTGCCAGTGTTTTTTTCCCCCTTTGATTTGGTTTTCCTTTAGTCCAAAACTGGGCCAGAAGAGAATGTGCAGTGGCTTTGAGCTTGATATACAAGGTCTCAGCACAGGAGGGAGTCATGATACAAGTGAGGAGGTAGCTCCTCCTGCTAAAAGCTGACATTCTTGTGGATTTTAGGTGTTTCCTTTTCTTCAGGTTTTGGAGACATGTAGCCTGTAAACTAAGATTTATAGACTAATAGCTACTTCTAAGAAGTGTTGGAATTTACTTGGCATCGTGGATTCAAATGATTATTTGCATATATACAAAAGTATCCACAAGGAAGGCCAGCTGCGAGGGGTAACAAAACACACAGGTAAATACACTAATCTTGGACCTGATCCTTTAAGGGTCAAAATGCCTTAACTTCCACTAACCCTAATGGAAGTTCAGGGCACTCCAAACCTCAAAGGATCGTACCTTCTTAAACGGCAGATATTCTTTCCTATAAAAAACAAACTTGTCTCTTTACATTAGGTTTCTGAAAGCTGAATGGAATCAACGCTTCACTCACAACCCTTTTCATTTCAAACTACAAAGCCATAATGTGTTTTGTATGCAAGGATACAGGGAGTAAAAGCTACCCTTCCATCCATGACAGATCAGAAACCATAATACTCAAGCAAACATTCTCAAAGGTCACACCGCTTCAAAGCAGTTCTTACCATTAATATACAGCAAAAGTTTTGATTTTAAGATCACACATTTAATTTTTAAACCCAGAGCCGATAGCCATGCTAAAAAATATTTGATACTGGTAGAGTGTTTTAGCAGTGTATTGATTTGAGTGGCAGAATAATTAAGTACCTAATATTTAAAAATTAGTTTAGACTGTCATATGCTAAGCATTAGCATAGTATGTGAAACTTGACTGTGCACTCACATGGGTTTCTCTAGCTGTCAATTTCCTATCACTTGTCCGCAATAGAGCCACCTTTCACAGTGGGCTGAGAAGTGCTAATTGTAATTTTAAAAAAAAGCCCCACACACCAAATCGATAGTTTATTCATGGTAAAGTGTAGCTTACCCACCCATTGCTCTTAGGCTGTTGACCTGAGGAAAGCAGCTGAAGCTTCCCCCCATAATTCCACCCATTCTGCCCAGTATTTGCAAATATTTAATCTATAGCAAACATTGTGCAATGCCCAGGAACACACTGAAAGTTAATGACTAATTTTCAAAGTCAACCTTTTACTGTCTTACACACAATGCACACAGAAATCTGGTCCTGACTCCTAGCCTTACTTCAGGGGAGGTTATTTTGATGGGACCCATTTCAGTTTAAAACAAATCACCTTAAGACTCATGGAGGGGGGGGAGAGACACAACACAGCAATGCACCAAAGTCATTTTGCCTCCTGAAGTGACCTCTTGTGGGCTAGTCCCTGGTTTTGCAATAGATGAATCTGAAACTCAGACCACGTACGCACGCACATACAGAGCGAGGAGACTGCCAGAGCCTACAGGGAGGAATGCATGCCAACATCCACCTGAATTTCCCAAAAAGAAGAGCAGATGCTCATGCTCAATTCCTCCCCCCCACCTTTAATAAGCTGCTTGATGAGAGGGGAGATTTAAGCTGTGATATCTTTCTTCTCTGTACAACCTAGATCTTGCTAGTTATTCACTACAGCAAGAAACCCTGCAAGCACAACTGCCTCAACCTGTTTTTAATGCCTCTGCTCAAGTAATGTGGAAAAAAATAACCAGAGAAAAAGAAAGAGAGGGAGGGAGAGAGAGAGAGAGAGGTGAAACTAGGCAGCATAGGCTGGTGGGGCCCTGCTGTCAAATCCTACAATGAAAACAAGAACAAGATCTTGCAGGGGACAACTCAGATGGATGGTTACTTTCAAGTCCCCCCAACCACCGTGGGTTATGGGCAGTGTTGTACAGAGCTACTGGGGGGGGGGGGGGCAGCCCAGTGTGCACACGCACACACACAGACCCACATGCGCTTCCCCCCCAAACCCCTGACATGCAGAGCCCAAGCACTTCAGGAAGACAGAAGGAAGCCCGCCAACTTACCTTGTGCAAACGACGACATGCTTGCTCTTTAATAAAATAAATACTTTGTTTTTTTTATATATATATATA